TTGTATTTATCAATGCTTAAAATGGCAATTTACGCTTCGAGGTCTTGGGCTTAGTTTTGTGTTCATCTTGGTCACTAACTTTGACTTCTTGTTAACTTGGATTTTATCTCCAGTTTAGTCCATGCTGTTTTGAATATATTGAGTTTTAATTTATGTATTTATTGGATTAATAGAAAATTAGAGAAAGAATTACCAATACCCCTGTCATTGCACCAGCAATCAACAAAGCCAAAGCCTCACTCATTTTCACTACCATTCAGCTTGCAACCCTCAATAACATACTTGACTTCGAAAACCTCTCTATTTATAGGCTTAAAATTAGAGTAAAAATATCTAAAAACAAATAATTAATTCAGTCATAAACGGACTGCCTCATACAATTAAAAAGAGAGGATTAAATGATCTGTTTGTAATCTCTTTAATGGACTGCCTCATTCAGTTTAAAGCTCGTAATTTTTTAATTAATAACTCATCTAATATTGAACTGTTCAAGTTATTCAATCTAGTAAAAAGATTACTGCTGCTTGCAGCTCGTCGTTTATAGTGCTAATACCAAAGACTGATAACGCCAGGAGGATAATCGATTTCCGTTCTATCAGCCTCTACGTACAAAATAATCTCAAGCTCACAAGTGATACTCGGTTTGTGATCACAAAAGGAAGACAAATTACTGGTATTGTGCTTCTTGCAGACAAAATCATACATTCTATGCTGAAATCTTTAGTCCAAGGCTTGCAGATTTGTCTTCGAAGAGAGGCCTTGGGACTCTGTTACATGGGATTTTCCTCCATTATAAATGGAGGCAATGGATCGACACATCAGATTTTTTTTTTACAATGAAAGTATGAATGGCAAATACTTTCATGAACAGTCGTTGTAGGCTTTACCACCTGCAAATCCTTTTCTTTTTTTATCATAATTCCCAGCTATATCTTTCATGTCCATAAAGAGTACATTTGGCAAACCATATTCCTAAGCTGGAATGCTACGGCCTTTTTTGTCCTCCTGAATCAAAGTGATTTGAGTACTAATTAGACGGGCAAATAATAGAGAAAGTTCAATCTAATTGGATTGACCTGAAGTATTTGATTTAGCCCTAAAAATTTTGAGAAACAAAAAACTGGAAAAAGATAGGGAGTCTGTCAGACAGCTGCGTGACCATCCCAGCTAGTCAAAGCCAGCTGAGAACGATCCTCTGCGGTCCTGGTGAGATCAACATCTAGAACCACAAAGACCAGTAATCACGCTCTGATCACACAGCCACTGTTCATCAACCAGACTTGGAATCCTGTCTCCTTAGAACTCAAGGATACAGAGGTACGAGCCTATAGAACAGATCCTGTTCAAGTAAGGTCGTACCCTATTAGTTCCCGATTCCAAGTTAAATACCCTTCACGTTAGTCTTTCCTCTTCGTTGTGGGATTTTGTTCATCTTCCGACAAAATAGTCGGTGTTTTAACCTACGCGTGTCTTTCATTATCTACTTCAGCCTTAAAGGAGCGAGTTAATTTACCAAAAAGTATAATATAATACATCATCCCGGCTATAACAATATTTGTATCACTCGAAAACTCATGGATTATTATTAGCCCGTTTAATGCTTTCTTTATAGTATTTAGCCCTAATTTTGAATTCTATTTATTATGATAAATTAAATGAATAATTATTAATTTCTTTTCTTTTTTGTTTTAATCGTCAAATTAAATTTTTAATAAAGCATCGTTAATATTAGTTTTTATAATTTAATAATTATATCTTAATATTTAACGACAAAATTAAAGTCATTTTTTATTTAAAATTTCCGTATTATTTTCTATTTCATTTAATCAATATACATATATAATTTTTAAATAAATTTATTTAAACTAATTAGACGAAAATACGTGTCAACATCCCATCAGTCTAAATAACACCATTTGACCTGAACAAATTAAGTGTTTCATCGGAGAGTAGGGAATTAAAACCTAGGACCCTTTAAATGAAGGATCATGCATTTATCTATTATCTATAAGTTAAATGTAAAACAAAATTTCATCAAATTAATACTTTAATAAATTTTATCACTATCTTAAAATTATATTTAAATTGTATTAGAGAGGATTGAATCGGAGATATTAGTAAATACTTAATCATTGTTATATAATTATTAGTTTTAACAGATGAATTTTCCTCTTTCAGTTGATTCTGCTTAAATATTAGAAGTGTAGTATTAGGATTCGTCCTTTTTTTCTCTTTTTCTTTAACTGTCATTAGTCTTTTTTTGTTTTTTATCTTTGTGATCAACGACGATATTAATTTTGGTGTTAGTCATCGACCGTCGATATTCATTGTTTTTTCTTTTATTTATTATAATATATCTTTATTTCTTCTTATTTTTTATTTTTAATAATTATGCCTTTATGACACGTCTTCTTATGTCTTTATGTCGTGTTTTCTTCTGTTTGATCGTTGTTTTCATTTTTTCTTTTTTTTAGGGTTGGATTTAACATCACCCGACTGATCAAGATGACACTTATTTGTTATCATGTTGATTTTCTCTGCTTTTGACCCTCGGATTGAATTTGGATACGTGATTTGCGTTTGTGAATAGTATTTTCACGTCGTTCGATTTTGATTTGTGATTATTGGTGTTCTTTCAATAGTTTTATCCCTTTTGAGGTTCGTTACCGATGTAATTAGATCTATTTGTATCTACCGTTTGTTCGAGTTTATTTGATTAGGTTTTTTAACTTTTTTTCTTGTATGGTCCTCATGTGATCTTAAGTGACTATTTTTATTGTGTTTAGAAAATGTCTTTATTATTTGTTTAGTTTACGATTTTGGTTGTAAATCTTTATTATAATTTAGATATTTTCTATTTTTAATAAAATTAACGACTTCTATCAAAAAAAATATAATTATTATATTTTAACAAATGATATTTAATTTGAATTACTACTAAAATTGAAGATCAAACAGTAATATTTTTATTACATTTTAACCAAATTGGAAAGAGTTTGGTTGTGACAACTTTTAGCAGTTCACCTCTTCTAATTAAAACGAATAGTCATAATCGGTTGTTTTGGGGCGGAGAAATAGAAAGTAGACGAGTTGAAGATGACAATGAAAAATCCTCGAGAGAAAGAAAGCCTGCAAGATAGAAAAAGTCTTTTGCATTGTCAGTCTTGCATGATGACTTACATATAGGCCTTAATGTAGGTGTCAAGCCTAGTGTGATGATTATAATTTACAGGTTAGCAAGCTAAATAGATCTAATCGTCAAATAACATATTTGACTCTAACTGATCATATGAATATATCAAGGATCACAACTAAGGGCCCAAATTTGCTCAAACATGGTGATGGAAAATTTAAATTTCTTTGTGAAGGGTGTTACAAATTTTATTTTCTCAAATAAAGTGGTATTTGCGGTGCTTTGGGAAGACATTAGGATCACTAGGTATCTTTGGCAGAAGGCATATGAAATATTTGACGTGTTCTCAAATAAGTAAGTTAGAAGACGACGTGTTTTCGTATGTCTTTCGTCGAAGATACACATTGATTTAAGAAAATATTATAGCATTCATCATATTTGAAAGAATAAAACAAATTCCACTCTATATGAAAAAATCATTTTTTAATCACCCTACTTCAATAGATTTACCCAATTAAGGTATATAATTATCAGGAGAAAATGAAATTCTTAAAACTTCAATGACCGATAAACGAAGAAATAACAATAAAATAATAGTTTTGGAAGGAAATCCAAAAAGAATTACAAGAAATATAAAAGTCAAATTAGCTGAAAAATAATAGAGAAATGAATTTTATTATAGTACAAGCGGGAAATTTTACTGTCCGAACCCTTAATATAAGATTAAGATAATACGTTACCGATTTTGTTATTATTTCTTTTAACAAAATCGGTAAAAAAATTACTTAAAATATTATTATTTCTATCTAAAACATTAATATTTTTTTAACATTTTCGATAAAGTGTCAAATAATAACAAAATCGATAGAAAAAATAATAAATTCGGTAACACTTTATCGGATATGTTAACAAAACCGATAAAACATCCAATAATAAAAAAACAATAGAAATAATAATGTTTATGATAATTTTTTATCAATTTTATTAAAAAATAATAACAAAACCGATAACGACTTAGCTTAATCTTATATTAAAGGTGTCGCACGACATACTTTCCCGGTACAAGTACAAGAAACAAAATGGGTATTAAAGTGGCCCAACAAAATCCGGCTTTTGTCACTTGCAATCAATGATTTATGGCATCATTGATTGCAAGTACTGAGGATTAGGGTTAATATTGCATGCACACATTTTAATGTTTGTGCTGCCAAATGATATCTCATTCCCCCTTACTCTTCCACCAAATAATACATCAACCCCTATCTTCTATTTATTGAACCGATATGACTCGAGCAAATGAAATATTTTTTTATGAATTACATTATCTTTAGTTAGAAATAATAAGAATATAAAGTAAAATTTACGTAAAAAAATAGTTCATATATTATTATTTTTTATTTATTAAGTATTGATGAACATATCTTTAACATATTCATTTTATTATTATTGATTGAAGGTCGGTTTATGGTTTAATATGTACAACGCACGTATAATATTTTTATGTATAAATAACGAATGACCGCATTAATATCAAGGGATAACACCTATTTTAAGAATTATACTAATTAAGACGATTTTATTTCTAAGAAAATAATTCTTACATGACACAATCAAATCTTATTTTATTTTAATTAATCTATTTCTCGGTCGGGTCTAACTTTATATTTCGCAATAATACCTTTATAACTCCGACCCCCTCGTTTCATTTCCACTTCTGCAACTACAATAAATCAAATACAGGTAAAATTTCAAACACAATGCTGTAGGATTTTTATATCCGACAAAAAATATCACATCCCTTATAAAAACTGTATATTGCTGAATGGAGAGACGACTGTAAAAACGGGTCCCAAAAATATTTAAATAGTGAATACATTAGGGTTGATGAAAGTGTGCAAATCAATTAATCAATATGTTGCGAAGAGGGTGCTTGTTAATTTCTCTTATTATCATGGGCAACCCCCTCATTCCCTGCTAGCATCAAGTACTTGTCTCTCCTAGTCAAGTTAGTACACTCAAATCCCAGAGCATCACCCAGTTTCCTCTGAATATAATTCCCCACTTCGAAGCTAGACCTTCCCCCTGCACATGTGAATTCTGGTGGCACCTTTCCCAGGATTTGAACATGGTAGCTCGGTCTGGGGTTCATCAGAAAGAAAATGGGATCCAACCATTTCAACCCACTCGCCGTCGTGCCGTAAAACGTGCTTACATCAGTGTTCATCGCTACCGGAACTATTTCATCGGCCAGCTCGGCGAACAACGAGCTGAACCTTAACAGATAAGGCTCCCTACATGTGGTTCCTTCGGGACAGACCACCAAATCACCTTCGCTTAACAGCTTCTGCATTGTTTTTCCGTCCTGTCTCCTGACCCTGGTCAGCCTGACTGTCCTGATGGGAGCTATTATCTCGGACATTTTGCTCAAGCTGTAGGTCACTGCCGTCAAGGGCTTGCACAATGCCGTGCTGAGGAAAACAGGGTCCAAAAGTGTTCGATGTGTACAGACGTGTAGGACACCTTTTTTATGTTGTGAATTTGGTGGAGGGAAACAGCCTTGGAAATTTAGCTGAACGCCGCTCAGAGAACCCAAGAATATAGCTAACCTGTAAGGCAGACAGATACCAACGACAATCCTGAAAATGGCGAGAACTATCCCAAATGGAAGCCACAGGAATATATAAAGTGTACCCAATGGAGTTGGCAAGAACGCTAGCCTTCCATCGTGAAATATAAGAGGCTTCGGGTACTTGTCCCTCGGCATCATGCAGCTTTGATTGTTTCGGCCATCCACCACATAGGCTTCCTGTCGCATTCACAAAGAAAATTGACACAAATTGAACTGTTCAACGATCATTAATTATTTTTATTATGTTTAAATGAAGTTGAAGTAATAAATGTACCTTGCAAAGGGAGATAAACATGTAACATCCCAAACTATGGGTTAGTGATCAAATTGTAAAGTTTCAGGATTTGGTGACTAAAGTAGAAGAATGGATTAGTTCAGTGATTTATTTGGAAGTATTTCCTAAAAGTTGTTAGTAAATATTAAAGGAACTAAAGGGTAAAATGGTCATTTGATCATTTAAGGAATTAAAAATGTGATAGTGGGGATATATATTTTACACGTGGGAAATGAGGGAAACAATGTTTCCAGAATTCTCTTCTCCTCCTTTCTTCTTTGTGCGTGAAGCTCTAGCTCAAAGGTGAGTTTCTTTATTAGTTGGTTATTTGTTGAATTAAAAGTTGGGTTATGATTCTTAGGTGATACTTAAGCTTAAGGAAAGCTTAAGTTATCTTAAAATCAAAAGATAAATGAGTTAGGGAAGATTAAAGATTTGGAGTTCTTGAGTGAATTTCCAGAATGAAGTTGATAAGTTGAATTTGAAGCTAAATTTGACTTGTCATCAGCTTAATTAAGAAGTATTAAGTGTTAGAATTGGATTTGAAACATGTGGAAAATAGGGTATGATTCTTGAAATTCCTAAAGAGGAGAGGATATTAAGGTTAAAGATGAGATAAATGAATATTAATGAGTTTAAGTATGTATATGAAAGTTAGGAATATGAAAGGGGTTGAAATATGAAGGATTTAATCCAAAAGAATGAATTTTCGGGTTCAAAAAGAGGTTCTGGGCAGAGTGCATCGATGCACATTCATAGTGCATCGATGCATCAAGGTTAAAACCCATAAATCGTTTGAAGGTGTATCGATGCACATGAAGTGCATCGATGCACTCTTTTAAAATAAATACATCGAATGCAATTCGTGCATCGATGCATAAGTAGTGCATCGATGCATCCCAGTAATAAACAAACATCGAATATATTTTATGCACCGATGCATCAGTAGTGCATTGATGCATACCTTCATTAAAAGATGAAATTGCCTTTTCTCTTAGTCTAAAGAGTGAACCATTAGAGTATATTAGTTATAATACTAATATAGATCTATGTATGATGATGTAGATATAGAACGTGATCCCGTTCCGGATCAATTGAAGGATTATAATCGAATCAAAGCAAAGCTAAGGTGAGTGCACATTTTCTAGTATATGAGGTTCAAGGGAAAATAAGACTTGTGATAAGTCTATTTCCAATAGTGAAAAACATGAATTCATAAGTATGTATTTGTTATGATTTATATGTGTGCATGAGTATATGTGTTATTGATATGAATATGGTAAGTAAAAGGGATTAATGGTGATAAGAATAATAATAAGGATAATGAAATGATAGGTATATGTGAATATAGGTATTGATGTGTTTTGTATGTATTGTAAGATGATATGTTTATGTGATAACATGATAAGATGACCATGATTTACATGTCATATGAGCACATGAGAAATGTTATGAGCCATATGAAAGAGAAAGTATATGTGATACATGAGGGTGAATCCTATGTTTATATGAATATAAACTCATATGAGAATTGACATGAACTACGTGATTACATGTATATGTGAATGAAACCATGAGCTTATGAATATGATATGGTTACATGAATATGTAAAAGGATATAAAAGATAATGCCCATGTTATGTGTCATGAGAGCTAGGGGTATAGTTGGCATGTCAAGAGTCGAGGGTCTATGTGGTTCTTCGGGATATATATGTATTCTTTGGAACATGTGTGAAGTCTGGTGAGACACATACTTGATCCTTGGCATATGTATATGATTCTTAAAAAATGATATGTGGTCCTTCGGGACATATATGTATTCTTTGGAACATGTGTGAAGTCTGGTGAAACACATACTTGATCCCTAGTACATGTATATGATTCTTAAGGAATGATATGTGGTCCTTATGGACATTATTATATGGCACTACGGTGCAATTCTACGCGGCACTCCGGTGCAATTCTACGTGGCACTTCGGTGCAATTATATGAGCTGTGGTGACAACATTAGTGCACAACCTCTATGTACTCGCATATCTTTAGTTCTCACATGTGTATCATGGGCTATTAAATAGATAATATTAATAAAGTGATATGATAATATGTTTGTTTCCTTGTGGAATTTCATGTGTGATATTGATTGTACAAATGGTAACTTATAAGACCATATGATGAAAGGAATCAATGATAGTGATAAAATAAGAAAGAAATGAAGATGATAATATAGTTGCTTGGGTGTACGTGTGTTATGATAGTATATATATATGGTTTACATGACATGATATGTATATGTGCAATTGGTTATGATATATGTTATATGTTATGAACATAAGAGATCATAGGAACATGAGATAAGAGATATGAATGATAATGACATATATGTATGCATATATTTGTTACATGTAAAAGTATGAGTGGTATGAAATGATAGTAGTAATTGTTTAGGTATGATTATTAGTTACCGTTTACCTTATATGGTTATATGCCTCACTAAGTCTTTGACTTAGCGTGTAAGTGATTTACACGTAGGTTTCGAGAAGAGTAAAGATCAATATGGAGCAAGACAGGTCAGTTCTCCTTACTAAAGGTCAGATCAGAAAAGATGTGACTAATATGTATTTTAGTATATAAAGTTCTAGTTAGCATGTTTTCAAAAGAATCTATTGTTTAAGCTACGAACAGTTTTATAAATGTTTCGAATAGTTATATGTAAATAAATAAGTGAAATATACACGCTCTGATTGGTTTTGTAATAATGAAAATGTTTTTTTATGTAAATTAGTCATTTATATGTTATAAAAGTTTAAAATTACTCACTATTTTATACAAGTGCATGTTTTAAAAGGTCAATGTGACACCTCGGATTCGTATCCGGGTCGGATACGGGTTGGGGTGTTACAAAACCGTACTAAGCAAAAATGTTCTACAGCGGCGTTTTAAGAGTAAACGCCACTAACTTTAAACATATAGCGGCGTTTACATTTCAAATGCCACAAAATGATAACTTTAGCGGCGTTTTTATACAAACGCCACTATAGACTCATATTTTATTGGCATTTTTATATAAAACGCAGCGATAGAGTACCACTTTAGTGGCGTTTTTATACAAACGCCGCTATTGACTAGTACTTTAGTGACGTTTCTATACAAATGCCGCAAAAGACTGGTACTTTAGTGGCGTTTCTATACAAATGCCGCTATAGACTCGTACTTTAGTGGCATTTTTGTTTACAAACACTGCTATAGGTTTGTACTTTAGTGGCGTTTTATACAAACGCCGCTATAGACTCGTATTTAGCGGCATTTTTTACAAACACCGCTAAAAAATCGTATTTTATTTGTGATTATGTTTACAAACGCCGTAATTTTAAAGTTTCTAAATCCCACGCCTCTTTAACCCTTTTTCATTTTTCCCTTCACCTATTTCTCCATTCACGTCCCCTCTTTCTATAAATAAAAATGTTTCATCTTCTCTCCTCCCTCTCGACTTTAGAAATTGGGCGTCTCTACAAGAAACGAAAACAAAGGAAACCCATAAATTGCAGGCAGCTCATTTTTCAAATCTCTCATTTCGTACAAAACTCAAGCAAAGAGGGGGGAGAAAGGGTACATCGTTCTAGTAGGGTTTTTTAATGGGGAAAACTAGATTCTGGAAGAATCATTTTCCAGATTTGTTTGTTTCAACCAAACAAAACCATAAATCATTTCTGTACGCCCCAGTTCTCGTTCTGAGTAAGCTTATTTTCTGCTCTCTTGATTCGATTTGATCCCAAATGGGACTAATGATTATATATTCGGTCGATGATTTATTTTTATTAGTTGATTTAGTCAAATTTAAGTGTATTTCCCAATGTGAATGTTGTTTTTCTTAATTAATTGCTAAATCAACATAATTTCAGAATGATTGATTTGCGTTGTTTCGTTTTAAGATATCATTTCTAGGTTTTAACTTTTGAGTTGCCTTTGTGTCGTCATATTACAGTTTCATAGTTTCATTCTCGAACAATGCTCCTGATCCTGAAAGGGATAGTGCGGTCGTACAGGCTTTCTTTGCCAACATGGAAGCTGCTTTTCGAGCTCATCCGCTTTGGGCAGGATGCTATGAGGAAGAGCTGGACAGTGCTGGTGAAGTAAGTCTCCCTATACCTATTTTACTTGCATATGTTCAATGCATTAAATTACTTACATTTCTTATATTTGGGTAATTTGTTTTTTATTAGTAAAAAAGGGAAAAACTTTATCTGGCATTGATGGATTCACCTTTTTTTTTCCAAATACAAGGATTGGAGAAGTATGTTATGACAAAGTTATTTACCCGTGTTTTTGCTTCACTCTCAGATTATGTAAAGCATGATGAACAACTTTATGAGAAGATGGCTCTAGTTCAGCAATTCGTTCGGCCTGAGAATTTGGATATTAAGCCAACCTTTCAGAACGAGACAGCATGACTGGTAAATGGTGGAATTTATGTCTCAAATACACACATTCACACACTTATTATTTGCAGTACGAGACAGAATTTATGTCTTAAATTTTACTTTATTTATTCTCAATTTGGGTAATTTGAAAATGTCATTTTGATTTGAACTTTGCACTCTATACCTAGTATATTTCCCCTATAATACAAAGAAGAAGCACAAACTAATTCCCTAAATTAGATACCAGGAACAAATGGCATCAATAAGATCTATCAGTAAAGAACATTACAATAAACTAGAATAAATGAACCCCAAAAAAGAATAACTTTACACCAATTCCCCACAAATCATCCCAACTCGCAAACATTCCAAATCCTAAAAAAATAAAATTAAACTACCCTAAACTGCAAATATTTACAACCTTAATGAAAATTATACATGTTACCTTAAAACTTTTGTACCAGATAATGAAATTATATCTCAATTTCAATTAAAAACAAACAAAAAATTTGAATTACATGCTTAAGACAGGAAGGGAAAATGATTTTGCCGCTATTTTGAGGAGAAGTCTTAACGATCTCTCTAGTAACTTCTCTCCACTTC